TTTGCAGGAAATCTCCCAAGCTTCCTCTTTCAGTGCCTATGGATAGAAAATCCATCGCGCACATAAATGTAAGATCCAGTTCCGTGATTCGAAGCGAATTTCGCCTTCTGATTCTCATTTTGACCCCTCTGCACTGGCAGAATCCCATCCAGAGTCATGCGATGAGCTCACCAGTATCATATGCATCGAGAGGCAGCTGTCAGTTCTGGCGTTCATCCTGCTTGTCTATAGAACGAAGCTAATCCCCATTCTTCCAGTATGATGAGCAGCCGTAATTGGCAGATTCCCGCCAACAGCCTGGGTACCACATGCTGCGACTACGAGATGAGAGGTTTCGTTTGGAAATTTCCATCTCTCTACTGACCCGTTATCCGGAAAAAGTCGCTCCCTTCTCTGCGACTGTGTATCTTTTTCGAGCCAATGTTCGCAACCTTGATGAGGAGCACACATCGAGTGCACCTGCTCTAGCTATAAAGTCCTGCCTGCACGATCGAGACACCATTCCTCGCTCGTACTTATTCAAACCACCATGAAGTTCGCCCTTGTGTCGGTACTCGTCCTCCTACTCGGTCTAAGCGTCGTCTTCGCTCAACCTACAGCCAACTCGAGAAGCCCCGTGGTTGCAATCCTGGCAAGAGTTGTAGGTGAGCACCGTTCCGATTGCCCATGATTCGGTGCTTCTACGAAAATATTCGATCCACATGCGATCGTATGATGAAATGAGGATATTTTCACTAAAACTGAGAATTCTGTCCTTCCTGTGCAGGACCTTATACGGCCCAGAATATCGTGAGCCTGAGTGAGTGTCTAGATCTGCAGCAACCTTAGCTCGACGTAGACAAAGGGTTCGGGAAGCAAAATTGCGTCGATGGTAGTAAGGAGATGATATCAGACACTCCCACCGGAACTTGCTCCTTTTCAGTCAACCGACTACCTTTTGGGGCCGGCCCAGCGATCATCACGGCACTGGATAGAGCATTTCAATCAGTCCGAGGGACAGGTTGATAGGTCTGTCCCTCGATCTCCGTGGGAACTGCGGCTGGATGCCAATGGCGGAGATGACTTCCTGAATCAGTGGAAATCGCTATAATACCGTGGGGTGATACAGAGGGTCTATTGGACCTGCGAGTTTCCGTCGAGGCCTTAGTCTCGATGTGAATTTCCCGATAAAGCCGAAGACTTGCTCCACGATTGCATCGTTCGTCCTCCGTCTTTTCATTCAGTGCATTTACAAATCGATGGATAAGGGGAATCGTTCGATGATTGCTTGCGCTGCCGGGAGGCTGAGAGCGTGGCAAGGCATCGTGGCGATGGGAATAGAAACTCAAAACGGAGTTCAGGAGATGAGATTGCGCGAGGCTCACGGCCACAGTCGTTGAGGCAGCTCAGACGTCTGTGAAACAAGGACTTTCCATCTTCATTGAGTCACCTACTGGGCGTTGAGGGCTCCGAACTCTTCCGAAGCGGATGAGCTCGCTCCCTAGCCGATTCATTTCTCACAGATCGCACTCGGCAGACCTCTTCTCTGACCATCTTATGTACGCTATTCCTCGGACCCTAGCCAGCGAGGCGATCCTCTCCTCTCTGTTCTCCCCGAGTCCGGAGCCGCCCGCAGTCACACGATTTTCCTCCTCGTGTGCTCGAGCACATCGCCCTCTGAAACCAGCGAATGAGATTCGAATTCGATTTATGGGAAAGCAAAAAGACGTGTGCATCTTGGTAGGCTTGAGTTCTTCCCCTTCGGCTTCCTTCCGGCCATAGGTTTGTGAGTTGTGAGCGTGACTAACCATGATTCATTTCGCGGAATCGTTGCGGAGATATCCGACCTAACCAGGCGCGCAATCAGTGTCATAACGAGCCCTGATTCCATCCGACCTAATATTTGGATCGCAGACTCGCCTACTGTTCTCGATCCGCAGTCTCGTTGGGCCGGGATCAGGAATCTCCCCTGAGGCCCTGAGCTCTATCTCCTTCATCGAAAACTCCTGAAAGGCGATCGGTATGAGTGAGCCTCAAATCATACGTCACACAGTCCTTCCGTCCCGGAGTAATCTATTTGTAAATGAGCCTATTCAGACTCTCCTTTCCCCGCAGATGACTCCGGAGGATCTTTCAGGGATTCGGTGATCCTCCTACAAGAAGCGAAAGTGAAATTCTACGCGAACCGATCGAACCACGTCACGATCGGTACCCAGACCATAGTCACTCCGAACGCGTCCGGGAAGGCTGCTACAATATTTCAGAGGGCCGTCGCGAAGGCATGAACTCAGCAGTCGACGGAACGGAAATGGCACAGCCGCATAGGTTGACCGTGGTTTATCGTTCCTGGCTCGGGCGAAGGGATTAAAGTTCCGG